CCGGTTTCCTGCACTTAGCAAGATCAATACCAGCCAACGAGGCTTGAAAACATGCGTCAACATGGTCTTGCACTGTTTGTATGTCCACATAACGCTCACCGCTCGGTTACTACCACCGACGCGAAAGCCCGCCGGCCACTTCACCACCCCCTCCCTCCTTCCACCTCCTCGTCCTCCACCACCACCCTCCTCATCCTCTTCCGCCAACCCCCTATCCTCGAGCCAGGTGAGGGAGGCCGGTCGGATAGCAAAGAGGGTCGAGGCGCAGGGTGAGCCAGCGGTACCGCGCGGCCAAACATTGTTCGATAAGGCTGCGTACATATTAGCTCATATAACCGTACGTCACCCCCACGGCTCGAACAATCATGTTATATTAATTAATTGCGATACATCGAGCGCAAGCCGCTTGGACGTGATGCCGCCGATGTGAACGCGACGGGATCGAGAGTACGTACGATCGCGGAGCAATGGCGACCGCGCGCTTTTGGTACGTTCCTCCGCTACGTCCTTTTTTCGTCGGACTGAAACGGATCATTTTCGATTTCCCGTGTAGAAATCTGCGGCTAGGCTCCTGAATATGCGACTTTGAAGGCTGTTAGATAAATTTTTTCTTTCCCCATCGCGAATTTTTAATAAATGCGGCATCGTAACTTTGATTGAAGATGAGAGAATATATAGCTTCTTCGAATGTTTGGTGTATTCAGTGGTAAATTTCTGATACGGTTGTCCCAACAACAAATATTTGTGCATTTCCGACGTTTTGTCTCATTCATCTTTCAAAAATGGAATCCTCATAATATCCCACTGACAATTACTACATTCAACGTCATCACACTCGAATTCCCGCCACAAAATCCAATCGTACACAACTTTCGACCAACTTTAAATGAAACCAAACGAAACGGACGAGAACAGGTGATTAACGCTAATTAACATTACCCAGAAGCAACCTTTATAAAAACAAAATCCACTGAAAAGCGGCCGCTATCCGTTCCCCTTTCCCCAGTACCGCGCCGTTCAAAAGCGGAGTCGATCTTAATCAACCCGGGACGCGTCAAGGCGGCCGCAACGGAAATTAAGTCGCGCGAGGAAAGCAGCGAATAAAGAGAGAACCGGGAAGATAAAATCCCGGGTAACTCGCGGATTCGTCGGTGGTGTTTAATGTCCCAGCGGCAGCATGGTAGCGCGTTTAGGCCGCTTAATGAAAGGGCGTCGTCGCGCTCGCCGGCCGCCCTCCTCGAGATAAAGGAGAGGCGGTGGAAGACGTCGTGGAAAACGGAGAAAGAGACCATCGCGGAGAAGCTCGGGGCTGCGCGGAGAAGACGAGATGAGGCGAAAGGGGAAAAGGGGACGAAAAGAAGGAAAAGCTGCGAGGAGAAAGGGTTGCGGGGGAGAAAAAGGGGTTGGCTGGAGCGAACGAGAAAGAGGAAGCACACGCCGCATTCGCACATTCACACTCACCTGGATACGTGCCTCAGGCAATCCAATCTTCTCGGCGAGACGCTCCCGTGCAAACACGTCCGGGTAATGTGTCCGCTCGAATTCTAAAACGAAACCAGTTTGCAACAAGTGCTCGTTATTAAACGTGCTTCCTTCCGTGGATCCGTTAGCGACACACGATCTCTCCCTCTTTCTCTCACCCACGCGCACAGACACGTATACACAACGTATACGTGAACGTGTTGGATGTGTACACTATATTATTAATCGCGCATAATTTCGAATCACCACGGGACAAGATTAAAAGGATAATTATTATCGACGATACTCGGAAAGCCCCGGGCCGACTTGAATGGCCGCGGATGCAATTAAACCCGTTACAACGCATGCGCATGTGTACGGATGCTTGGGAAAACTGGATATCCGTGGAAAGCAGTAATTTACTTGTACCAGCCCGGTGTAACGCACGTGTAACACGCTGCTGGATCGACGGATGTTTATGTCGTTACTGTTTAAGGGCTGGAATCTTCCGTTTTATTTTGGGAATGACATTTACATGGGGTGCAGAGGTTGGATGCGATTTTAATATCGATATATGGGGAGGTTCGTAAATTTCAAGACGTTCATTTTAGATTACTGTTCAGAAACAAGCAAATTCACAAATGTTTTATTTTTTACTGTAAGTTCGTTTCTGATTCGTTATTCTCGGTTTTCGATGAAACGAATCGAGGACTACTTTCTTGGGATCGTAACGGTTCGACGTAATGTTCGACTACTAACCTTTCTCGAGACTGTCGATCTGTTCGTTGGAGAAGGACGTCCGGTTGCGTTGCAGCTTCCGCTTTAACCTCAGCCGCACCTGCGAATCTTCGTCGCCGGAGGAATTGTGCTCCGAGTTGCCATCAGACGTCGTCTCCTGCTGATGCGACAACAAGGAGCCGGTGTCTGAAAACAAATTAGAATGCCCTGGTATTATCGCATCTGACAAGCCGACATCCTGCTGAAAAATCAAATTCCTTCGAGTCATCCTCAACAATACTACAACCAATAACGCTTTCGCATTTCCACAAAACATATCTCTAATATCGCACAACAATTTCCCCAGAACGTGAGAACAGCAAACAGAAATCCATCGAATCAATTCCTCAGCCCGCTTCCCCAAACTTTCGCGAAGCGTACACACCCCACGAAACAAGGAACAAATCCAGCCACATTTATATTCCATCATCGAATGTATCCACAGAAAAACTCGAACAGAAACGCAACACGGGGCGCGGACGTGAAGAAAATTTCGGACGATCCACCGGGCATCCGCTGCCATTCGAACTTTCCAACGGTCGCGTCCGGGAGAGCGATCCAATTAAGAACGGTCTCGCCCGTAGTATCGTTCCAGTGATTTCGCGGCAAGCGACGCGGACTAACGTCCTCAGGATTCCTCGACACCGAGAAGTCCAGGATCGTGGCCTAGGTTCCCGTAGAGTTCGCGTTTCGTGTTGGTGCGTGCGTCCAGGGAGAAAGAGAGAGGAAGAGGAAAAGAGGGGCCGAAAGAGCGAGTAGGTGAGTGAAT